AGTTATAGCGAAAATGAAGCAAAAACAAAACACTAACATATAACATGAAATTAAGAATATAATGTAGTATCAGCAATACCATCTTTGTTTTCCACACACACAGTATTCTGGGCAAACACTGTCTGCTTATGTTTTTTATTGTTAAGATTAGATTACATAATACTAATATTTAACAGGCTAAAATTCAGTAATACTAAAGACAAAATATGATCGTAATACAATATATTATATAGTTGGTATTTTAGATAGATCATGTACAATCCAGTTTACACTTGTTTTAATATAGTTGTTTGCTAGAAGAAGCTTCTAACATGGTGAGGATGCTAAATCTGGAAAGTTTACTAAAGCAGTCGTAGAATACTTAGAATGTTCGTGATCAAGATACTTTGCGAAACACCCAGAAACAAGGATACATTATGAATACGTGAATCACAGAAACATTTCGTTAAGTTTCTTCGTTGTCTTCGAAGTTAATGAAGTATTGAGAACAGTTTTAATTATCGCGTGTATTCAGTTACTCGATCGATTAGCCTTAAAACTGTGCAACTAAGTTTATTTGTAGGTTAGAGAGTTAAAATACCATTAGCGAGTAAATTTATGTCATTTGTGCACTTGGGCCTACAAGTGATAATAGCCTGTAGGAAACATTAAGGAAGAAGTAAATTAATTTGTTATCGTTTCGTGGACTGGTCTTGGTATTATTTTCACCATGTAATCGAAAAGAATTCGCCGAACGATAGTACACGTTACAACACTATTTTTTTCGCCAATGACTAATACATTACTACTGTATGAAGTCTTAGCACTTTGACATTCGGGTTATAGGGTATCAAAGTGTCTGTTGTTTCAGTGTAACTCACCTGGACGATGGCTATCAAAGTGTCTGTTGTTTCAGTGTAACTCACCTGGACGATGGCTATCAAAGTGTTTGTTGTTTCAGTGTAACTCACCTGAACGATGGCTATCAAAGTGTCTGTTGTTTCAGTGTAACTCACCTGGACGATGGCTATCAAAGTGTCTGTTGTTTCAGTGTAACTCACCTGAACGATGGCTATCAAAGTGTCTGTTGTTTCAGTGTAACTCACCTGGACGATGGCTATCAAAGTGTCTGTTGTTTCAGTGTAACTTTAGGAAGGGTGACATAGTAAGTTTCAAAACTTTAGCGGTTTGCATCTACATGTTGAAAGAAAAGGATACCACATTTCGGCATCTATAGTGAGGCCTCCTCAGTCATAGAAGGTCTCAGTATAGAAGCTGAAAGTTGCAGTCCATCAAAGTTTTCAAACCTACTACTAAAAGTCTGACGCTTTTTTTACTGAATGTATAATGCTAGGCAAGGAGAGATCTTTCCGAAATTAAAGTTATTAAAAATTGAGATGTGTTAAAATGTTCAATTGACATTGTTCTGTTTCTAGCTGAACTAGGTTTGCTTCGTCGTGGACACAAAAATTTTACATTGAATAAAGTCAATTTTTTAAAGAGTTTATTGCATTGTTTGTCAAATATGATAAGGTGATTGGGAAATACGTGGAGATGAAAAGAAGGCAATAAGTCCAAAGAATACACATGACACCTATATGTCCACCGTTACTTTATTGAGTTCTGAATCCCAAAACAGGCTATGTTAAATACTGCTGATGAAATACGCCAAACTGTAGCCACCAAAGTTCGAAAGTCAGGATATTTCTGCATTGCTGTAATGATAATTCCCGTCATGACCAATAGTAACAAGATACGTTAAATATGATTTCTAAGTTGTGAAATGCATACTCGAAGTAACGCATGTGAAATATTACCATGCATAAAGTCTGTTTAATAATTTGAAAAGTAACCTGAATGCTAAGGGAGTTGACCTGACATACAGCATGTCAATCCTATGTTGGTGCTCAATTAATATTAGGACATTATACCGGTATAATCCAAACTGCCACTACACCTGTCCGTTTGACCATACACTGAATCTAGTCATAATACAGGCATGTAGTACCTCTCTGCTGTCTGAGCCAATGTTTGGCTTCTTGGAGACGTAAAAACTTCTTCATTGCATCTTACAAGAGATGTTCTCGTACAAATGTAGATTCGCTGCAGAGTATCTTAAAGCTTTGAATACTTTGAGAAACTTTTATCTAAAAAGTACATCGGAGGCAAAGGGACTTCGCAAAAATCCTTACAGTGAAAATTGTTACTACTTAATTATTTAAAAAACAATTTCGATGTTACACATCCTACGTCTTACTATTTTCAATCCGAAAGCACCGATATTCTACAAGCAGTGAACAGTGTTACGACTTGCGAGTCTCAGCTTCTAGAATTCGGGAACAAGAACACTGTAAATGAAGAGCTGTGTGAATTCAGTGTACTGTATCTTTGAACAACGCAACCTTATGGGTGCAATCTCCTGAAGTTTGATTCTACAAAAATTAAAAAAAGGAATGGACGACGAAATGACTCAAGATGAAGTTAACACCAATGAAAGAAAACAAATTAGAAGAGCTAACAGCTTGCTTAGTCTTAATACATTTATAAACTGTATAAACAAGGATTATTCATCTCAATGACAAATTTTATCCGACTTTGCTGAATCCATTGCGTTTCTCTGAATAGGAAGGATTACTACCAAAAGATGCTTTCTATCTTTGTGCCGACAAGATACGGTTTCGGTAACGAAACTCTCGTGAAATAGCATACGAGTTTCGTCAAGGTTTGTAGTAAGATGAGCAGATGTACATTATGATCGTCATTGTCCAATTTTAGTCAATGCCTTCTACAAGCCAGTCCTTCAGCTTGTTGACAGTTTGAGATAACGATCTTTTTCAAGTCTATATGATATTTCTTGTGGCATTTACCCGTTAGCCAAGTCAAACGTGAACGCCGCTTCTCGAAAACGAAGCTTATGAAGACATATTTGTTTTCCACCATGTCATCACAGCATCTAGCTTCCTTCATGGTGATTACTGTCGATATATACATCTCTAATCTGACCACAGTTCTGTAATCCCGCGTTTCACGTTTTTTCTTCTGCAGAAAATATTACTCCTACAAACCTCTGTTAAGTTGTATGGCAAAGAGTTATGTTGATAATAAATTTAGTTATGTACATGTTGAACTTTACCACAAATGAAATTCTTTGATTTGCTTTTAAGTGCTATGGAATCTCCGATATGTTTAATTTGTGAGAATAAAATGTTATTCAAAGCGAGCAGCTTAGCTTAAGAAGTCTTATCCACAATGTTGTATATAGCTTCTGCTCCCTTTGATTTCTATATCCTGTCCCCACCCCCCAAAGAAAAAACGTTTTTGAAAGGTTATTGTACACTTGTACTCCTACTATCGTAGTTAGAATTTAAGTGAAATCTATGTGGATGTGCACACTTTACAGCAATACCACCATGTATCTATAATGTATCTTATCAGTCTTAATGGCGTGTTTACCTTTCATAAGTAATTTTGACTAATATAACATACGTGTAGCGAAATTATTTATCACTAATCAATCCAGATAATCCCACTGATTTTCACAACTCATTAAGTCAATGTTAAACTTTTACACATCCAATAATTTTCCTTCCCGGGCTTTTGAAACCCACAAAATTCATCGACAGCTGGGGCTCTGACCCAGACTCCATAGCTGACATGGAAGGGTTTTGTATCTGGAATTCATGAACTCTGCCCAATCTAATCTTTTGGTCCAACTATGCTACTATATCAGACCCATACATGTTTTTTTATTATTATTATTTTGCTTCTTCAAAACTATATTTTGTATAGTTGAAGGTTTTTTTTTTCCCCAAGGAATCATACTTTCAACCACTAAAAGCTTGACCACTTCTAACACTAAAAAGTGTCTCCATTCCAGACTTCATAGCCTTCAAAGTGTGATTTTATTATTATCAACATAAGTCAGAAAATTATCTGGTCTATAATATAATCCTTGAAGTCATGTTCTTGCCACTTAACAACTAGATATTCTCAAATTCTCAGTCACCAAGCAACTAATCATCTACATCTTGTCACTTAGCAATTCAAGCTAATCCTCCAAGTGATGTTCCTTAGCAACAAAAGCTAATGCTCCAAGTTGTGTTACTTAGCAACGAAAAACTAATCCTCCAAATAATCTTACTTTGCAATACGTTTTAACTTATATGAAGTGTTTTTCCTTGACCTGCACTTATCACAGCCAGTGCACAAGGGGTCTATGAAACATAAGAATGAAAAACCAGACAAAATTTGTTCTGTTATCTTTATACATATATATATATTATGTTCTATTTTACAAGTACATTCATACATTTCATATTGTGCTTGCCCTGGGTAATTTACACACAAGCAAGAATGAGCATATGAAAACATGACAATATTTTTTTAAAATAACATGAAAAAGTAAACTAAATAAAAATGCCACCAACATCTTGTCCAAGTGCTTTCTTAACCCACTGTAAACTCCCGATGTAAAAATTGAAGTTGGAATGCAGAATTTTTCGTACTAAAACTGCAGGGACAAAAGAAAACATTGACAAAGAGGCAGAATTCAACCAAATACAAACACAACACATATATATGAATAAGAAAAAAAAAAAACAAGCAGGAATATGTTGTTGTTGATAATTCCATTTTCAAACTGCATTTCATGCCAATATGAACTTCGTGCCAACATTTACAAAGCTACATGTATATTTAAATAATATTACTCCTACACCCCACCCACTCATCATTTTTTTTATTGGACAAATGTAGCCCATAATTTACTCTGCTAACAACAACTTTTCATCCTTTGTCATTTCTCACCAACACAGTTTATATTTCATCCCCATTTTGCTGTTTAAAAATAAACACTTATGTTAAAACATAACATCCTGATTAAACATACATTTGCTGTTGTTTTTTGAGGCAAGTTAAAAGTCTTAGATTACTCAATCTTGCTGGAGAATAGTTTGAGTTGACTTGCATGACAGTAATGATCCAAAATGCCACCCTATCATTAAACTAGTTATCATATTAATTTTGCCATGTCAGTTTCAACCTCGTTTTGAACATTAAAAGCAAGTGATCTGAGGTATCTTGCACTAAATATTTTAACATACAAGAATGATGAACCAAGTCTTATATTTAAAATATTTCTAGGCAAGAGATGTAGAACACGAAAGTCGTTGCAAAACAACTAACATTAATAAGATTCTTTCAGGTATTGCAACCTCACTTTATCAGTTTTTTCATCACGATAAAAAGTGTTTGAAATTAATAAAAAAAACTTTAATAATCCTTACTTAGAGATGTCCATCTGAAGTATTAGAAAGGCATGAAAGATGTTTTTGTTTTTATAATTTAGAAACACAAATTCGTCATTCCAGGAAAATACAGTATTACAAAAATTAATTGCACAAAGCAGTTTAGAATAAGTAATCATTTTAATTTCATACAGTATCTTAGGGTTATTATTGATTTAATTTTATTTTCAAATTCAGTTGTTTCAAAAACGTAAGATGTCCTTAAGCTTCCTTTACCTAGGAAAGAGTAGATTAATGCTAATAAACTGTTGAAATTTCAGCATTCCCTAATCACAAAACAAAACGTGTTTCAGACTGAATAAGTTCAATTTGCTTTAAGATCCTCTAACCATAACAATATTCTCCGACCATAAAATTGACCATTTTGCCAACAAACTAGTTGTTTTAAAATCCGAAATTGCATTTCATCGTCCACAGAATTCCATCCTAATACTCGGAACAGTACTTTACTAACTTTAGACAGCCACAAACGTTAAATATTTGTTTATAAACTTGTAACATTAATTTTGGAAACATTAATTCAACCTAGTTAGGATTTTGTAATTGAACCTGGTATTGTAATATCTGGTATTCATTTCACACTTTATTGCTCAGTCAATCTTTAAATTTAAGAATATATATATATATATATATATCTACAATGTTTAATCATTACATGCAATTATTATTCTGCTAAATCACTAAAAAACAAAAAACACTGACCCACTAAATGCAAAATAAAAAAAAAAGCCAAACAAACTGATTGATTAATGCAAGTTAAGACTAAAGAACGGGTAAGAAGATTTGTACGTATTACACAAACCTATATTTAAAAAAAAATTACATTTCATCTGTATCAGTGAGACCCTTAAAGATACAAAAATTTGTATTTCTATTGAATATGTCAAATAACTCACTTTTTAACAAAGAAGTACACTATTTACTGCAGTTTCTTGATTTTTCTGATTAAATAAAGCTTTTATAATCTATGGAGGATAAGTATACCAAAACATATAATAAAAAAAAAATTGTAAGATAAATACTCTGAAAAAGAGATGCACATTAGGGGTGATGAATATTTGAACAGCCTATAAGCCACACTTACAAATGAATATTAACAGTGATAAAAAAACTTCCATATTTCTATTTATTTAATACAAAAGTTCACTGAGCATTTGCACAAAATGGGAGATCATTTGGATTACTTAGACTACACCAGAAAAAAACTTAGAAGTGTCTTAGTAGCCTGTAAGCTCTGTCCATCTAGATCAGTAAACAATCTTTAAGTTCACCAGGATCAGGTTCTAATTACTGCAAACCTTTGATTAGATAAAAACTTATAAATAATAACAAAAATAACAATATCTGAAATTGAACGTAAGATTGAAAACATGAAATATCTGGAACTTAATGTACTGGAATACTGTCTTGTGTGTGTATGTATGTATGATTGAATGTCTTAGTTTGAATATTTTTAGTACATTTTTCTAACCTAAATCTATACCCCCCTAGGATATTTATTCATTCAAAATATCCATGGTTTAATTACATTCTTTAAATTATTAGTATACGACTTTCCTGGAAAGATATCGACAACAAACATCTGCTCCATCTAAAAACTTTGGTACTGTACGTTATAGAAACATTAACCACAAGTACTGGCTGTTTTATATAGTTTCAAAAAATCATTCTTCCCACTTCTTAATGAAAAATATCACAAGATAAATAACGTATTCAAAGATGTATAATTTTAATATTTTACCTATTACTAAACTTATTATCATCATCATATTTTTTTATTCCATGCTATTGATGATAGTAAAAAATTCTCTTCTCTTTAGATAAAAAAGTTATTGTAAGATCTAATGATCCTTCTTGTAGAAAATGATTATAACCATATAAAGAATACACTCTTCTTCATCCTAAAGAAACATTTTTACTTGTGTTATCTTTAAGCCATAGAACCACAACTAAAACAAGTGAATCAATTCTAATCAAAGAAATATAATCCTCTTGTCAGATTAAGGCTTAAGGTAAAAAAACAACACAGAACAAAACAAGTTTTTTTGAGGATGGAAAAAAGCATATTTCTGTGCATTTTTTAACCTTCTTCAACATTTCTGATGTTAACACCTAGAGAAGTGTCTAGTAGAATTAAAGTATTTTCATATGTAAGAATTAATAGTTTGACCAAAATTTAAAAGCTTAACGGCTCGAGTGAAAGTCAATCGACTCATTTTCAAATTTATAAGTTTTATCTCTGGATGTGAAAAATCATTTGCCACAAAAAACTGATTAGTGGTTGGTTTAACAAGTTTGTTCTTTTTTATATGCACATGACAAAATATTTAAAGAGTTAAAACTAGAAAACTACTCCTGCTTCGCAAATGGAAGTTTTCAATATGGAAGTATACATCTTGGTTCATCATAAAGATGTCTAATGCTAACTAAACTCATTTTTGTAACAGTAACATTTTATATAGCCCAAAAACATTATCATCTCGTAACATTTCAAGAAGAGTTCAGAAGTCAAATCAAATACTAGGCTTTTATATTTCACAATCTTTTTTCAGTTCACAATCGTTTCAGTATTGGTAACTGTCAAAACCAGCATTTACAGTGATAGAAGCAAGAAAGTTGAACCGAGTTACAATAATGTGGATAATACAGGTAAATTGACTAATGTTAGATTTTGTTGTAAAAAAAAAAAACCTTTATGATATGGTAGTATTAACAGAACTTAAAACCATATGTTTTGATTTCTCTTTAAGCAGGAGCATTATCACATTGGATAAAATAATGACACGTATTTTGCTACACCATACACATCTGCTGATTGGGACTGCTTCTACAAATTCTTATAAAAAATTTGAAATGCTTTTGAAAGTATACATTAAAACTCCTAACAAATACTTAAAATTCCTTACTAAAATCGTTTTTTTTTTCCTATTTCACTTTCATCTATATAATCTAAACACTAATGTAGACTAAAATTTATTATTTTTAGTTTTGTCATTCAGGATAGGACACACAAAAGACATCTATAAAACAAAAAGGTTTATACTTAAACACAATACATCCAGCATTAATGCTGACAGTTATTACGAAACAGGAGAAACTTAAACCTATTATTCGAGTTACAATAACCACAGGAGTCGAGAGAAAACATCAAGCAATATAAAACAGCCACGCACAGAGTCAAGAGTTTTAAATAATAGGAATAAAAATAATACTACTAATAAGAATCTCTTAAACACTCATTCAGTGAATATTAAACAAGAAAATCAAACTTGCTCTTAACAATAACAGCAAAGTTGTTGTTGGTGGTGTTTTTTTTTTTCCAGTTTCATTTTTTATTTATTTTTTTTAAATCATACTTCTGGAATATGTAAAATGATCACAAAAAATAATGCAAGCTAACTCCAGAAAGGCAAAAATGGTAGTTTCATACTTCAATTACAAAACTGGGAGTTATAATGCTTAATTTAGTTCACACAGCTAGATATTTATATACCACACTTATAATTTAAATTTTTAAATGAAGCTTATAGAAATGAGCATGTTTCTCTGAATAAACATCAAGCTTGTGAATGACATTTGTATTTAATAAAAGTTAACCAATTCTTTTCTTATACCAGAAAGTTTGTAAATTTAAGTGTCATATTTTCTCGAGAAGCCTCATGGTCTTATCATGAACACACTATTATTTCTTATAAACCATTCAATAAATTATTCTGCTTAGCCTTAGTATCTGGAGTTTTAGTTTATAACCTTAAGGAACCCTTTTTGTTTTTAATATAATAACAAATTCTACTTTTCTGTTGACATTCAAAGCAGACATATTTTACCTTTCATATCCAGAAATTTAAAAATTAATACATCTTCAAAAACTCACATTTTAGTTTATTCCTAGCCATTTCCAAATCAAGTTATATTGCATTGATTATGCAAGTCTTACTGGTTTTTTTTCATTTCTAACTCAGTCATTTATTGACTATAATCAAGACAGAAGGATGCTGAAGTCCACTGAGAGTCTTGCATTTGTACCAGTTTACTAATCTTCATTACTGTCTTCATACTGTGCTAAAAGTTATTACTTTAGCCACACAGTTCAGCTACAGCACAAGATAATAAGACTGACCAATCATTGTGTTAATGTTTTAGACCTATATTCAGCATTTGGCAAGTCACACTCTCAGCCATAAGTTCATATACACTGACCAGCATATAATACCCTAGACATCTAATTAAATACGTTGCTGGCCTGTCCTTTCACAGCAAAATTTCTATGATGATGCAGGAAGTGTTGAATAAGGTGACATCGCAACATTCCTAAGTGCTCAGCGGTGGTGTCAACTAAAAGAAAAAAAAAAAATTTAACGCTGCACACACAAGAACAAATGGAATAGAGTTGTCTGAGATTGTTTTACAGCTAGGTGACGAGCCAGCTTGTCAGTTTGATACGTACGTGTAGGTGCGGGATGGCGATTTCAGCGAGGGAGTTTCTGGAAGTTTAGCATTTAAAAAATCCCAGATAAGGATTGTGTCATCATGAGAACTACTAACAATTTGAAACTCGTCAAACTGAAGTCTGAAGACACGACCTGTGTGTTCCTTGAAATGAAAAACAATACAAAGTATTAGCAAAAAATAGAAACAGTCAAAAGTTTACATTTAAAGATTTTCTATTTCTCATATCTAAATTCCTTATTTTCTTCTTAAAGAAAACTTTTCAAAACCAAAGCAGGTAAAAAAACATCTTTTGTTATAGTGTTTTATTTCATAAACAACTACAGTTTATTACTTTCCAATGATTTTGACTTTAAACAATTCTACTTACTGTGTTACTGTAACATATCTCGACTTCTCCCTTGTAAAACTACTCATATTTTTTAAAAGAATTTTTTCACCTTTGTAATTTTTGAAACATTTTACCTCAATAAATCAATAACTAACCAAAATTTAGCTTTAAATTAAGAAACAAAGCCAATTCTTTTAAAAGGGTTAAGAACAATTCAATAAAAGTCATGTTGTAATAAATTTGTCATAAAAGAAAAAATATATATACACATTTTTTTTTTAATTTATTAATACATTCACCAACAGCTTTCACAGCCCTGAATTGATCAAGTGTTCAAAAGAGAATGATATTAATTTCAAGTAAGCCAACCATATCATATCCCAACTAACATATGTAAACTAATGGAGATGAGGAAATGGGCACCAGACAACACACTATTTACAGTCCCATTAACTCGTTAACTGCAGAAGTTGTATGGCTCAGCTGCGAATGACAAAAATATCCATCAGTCGCACACATATAACTAACTCTAGGCGAATGACGAAAGTTACAGTTTTATTGTGATTGATGGCAACTCAGTTTTATCTGTGAGTCAGAAAACGGCAACTGAGCTGCTCCTGCTGCAGTTAATGGGTTAAGTATGAATGTACTTCCTTTATGCCATAACTGCCTACCCCCCAAATGACTTCTCCAGAAGATACACCCCTTCTCTTAGTAAACATGTAAATTCTCAGTAAAATTTCTTGAAACTGAATATATGCAACAATTTTTACTTTATTATCATGTTTACATTTATTACTTAATGCTGTTATGAAAAAATATATTTACAAGTTTAATTTAACCAATCACTGCAAGCTTGAAGCACCATATACAAGAACAGACTAGATATAATCATTTCTTTAATTCCATATTTTTGTTAATACTTTTAAAAATTATAAATTTATTTAATTGTTTGCTTCTAACAGTATTTATCAAACACAGTAACCATAGTCTTCTTGCTTAATGCATATACTGTCATTGCAAGCATTAGTTGCAGTCTTTGGACTTGCATTTAACAAACAGTTTGTTCATTTTAGCACACAGCTACACAATGGTCTAACTGTGCATTGTCCCCAGATTTAAGTGTTCATGTCCATAAACTTACAGAAGCAGTACTCAAGAAATGGATTCACATGATCTGCAAGGAAAACCATGGCCCTCATCATAACTTAAAACAAGCAAAACCATTTATGTGAACTACAATGCATGCCTATCAGTGCAAAATTAGTTGGACTGTATAAAAGTAATGCTAAAAACAAACATTACAATAATGCCTTGATAAAAGAAGCTGGGCTGTAAAAAAAAAATGTAAAACCTAAAGTTCAACTGAGAAATGCAAAATCAAAAGTTAAAATTTTTTTTCACTGAAAATGTATTTCCAACAGATACCCACGTCCTTTCACACAAAGCTATCTCAATCTTCTTCTACCCTCTTAGGATTGCTAACACTATTTTCATAATTAATGCACCATTCTATATACCCCATCATGCGACTACTCTACACCAATAGTATTGCATCACAGATATTGGTGCATCTAGTATTCATGCTCTATATTCACTTTTGAGATTTGTCAGGCTCCAAAAAAAAACAGCAGCAGCAGTGGGTAGGAAATATGAGAATAGGTAAGTACCCACCAGACATACATTTTTCAGTGTAAGAAAAATGTTAACATCTGATACACCCTTACCTCGTCTCACACAAAGCTAGAATCCCACAAAGATGGAGGGGACAGTATAGGTGCACAAAATTGAAATCAAGAGGAAATCAACAGCCCAGAATGAACAAGTGTGATCCAAGATGAAAATGAAGCCCATTTTTGGGGTACAGCACTACTTCTGGAACAGGTATGATCTTTGCTCTTGAAGTAGGAAAATAATCTGATTCGGATAGAAAACAAGGGATGTGCACATGTGTAATTTGTTCCGAGATGTGCAATTTGTAGAAAATATAAAAAGAATGAGCTATGTACATCCACAACATCAACCGGACAAACAAGGTTCCATAACTTGTCCTTGGCAGTATGAGGTTGAGGATGAAAAACAAAATTTTAGCATCAACATAGTGGCTAGGGCACGTGGACCGTGTGATATATATCCATCAACCCTAATTGTAAGTAAACAAGAGAGTCATCAAGCAACTGGAATAACGAAGAGAAAGTGAGCTGAAACTAGACAAACTCCAAAACAACTGTAAAAGCAAGAAGTACAACAAATCGAACCCTGTATTTTCAGATCATAGAATTGCCTCACCTCGACCGTAACAACAGGGTAATATTTGTAACCGGTATTACAAACAAAAATCATAACTCACTCAACTGTAAATGCAGGGAAGAGACATCCTGCATCTACAATTAGGAGGACATGAAACGTTCGCTCCACCATAGAAACAGTGTACATATGTCCTGTTGCCAGTATTAGAAGACAGATAAAGTCTCCCAAACTCAAATATACTGCAAACTTCAGTTGCAGTGAAAGGGTTAATAATGAACTACCAAACCCGCAAAATTTGTCGAGCCTTCAAAGTATGTAATATTAGCAAAAGTATAAAACAATTAAATTTACCTACAAAACTAAGTAATAATCAATATCTAACTTACAATTCATTTAAAGTAACTTAGATGACAAAAGAGACATAACTATCTAACTTACCAAAGTCCGAGCAGTAATGATGCGAAATACTTAATTCTCACATGTGTAAGTAAGAGCAAAGCCACATAAAGGGCATCTGAGCCATGCCTATCATGGGTATATCAACCAGGAGTGAATTGTACATGTTAAAAACTTGCCACAGGTCCCCTGTGAGAACTAGAAGCAATTGAAAGAAAGGAGAAAAAGAACTATTTTCCACCAAAACGAATGAAGTGGTGGCATGACAACTGGTGGAAGATGAAAACTCCTAAAGAGGTGTAGAGTGTGACAGACCAAAATAAGAAGGTGCCAGAAAAAGAGAGTCCAAACTGTATTAATCTTGATTGTATTCTTCCTCAGAAACAATGTCACCTTAAAAAAAAAATCACCAGCCGAACACATGAATCTAGCTCCCTGCGAATTAAGGCATGGTACCTCCTCTGCAGATAAAGTTGAATCCAATTCCTCGAAAGTTGTACCAGTAGCGTTTTTAACTGTAACGGGAATTTCCGTAGTCAATACAATGATCGCAAATTCATACCAAGGTCTCTTATAGTTCGGGAACAAGAAATAAATGCAAAAAAATTTTTTTGAAAGAAATGAATGCAAACAAGGTAAAATTTTTTAAATGGCAAAGATGCACGTTCATAAATGGTTGCCACATACGAAAAAAAACAACACATGTCTAAACAATAATGTGCCAATCGAGAAAGTGAGGATTGAGCAGGAATAGCAGAGGAAGCTAGCTGTGCAAATATAGGCGGTGCAGTACTGTTGGTGGATAGTAGTCACATGATATGTACATGTTCAGAAATGGTGCGAAATTGATGGGATATATAGATTGGCGTGTTGATCACAAAAATTTTTTCAGCAATGCTTAGAGGACAGAAGAAGATGAAGATAGCTTTGTGTGGGAAGATGCAAAACCATGCACCATAAACTATAAAGCAAAAACATAAAAACTAAGTGTTTTTGTATTAGGTTATTATATCAGACATTAGTTTAGTGGAGTTGTTGTACATGTAAATTTTCCTTGAGCAGGGTGTGGGATAGGAATTTAACAGAATGTCTCAACTGCATAATTCACAGTATGGGCCCTACCATTATTATGTCATATGAGCAGATGTCAGTATTAACATAACTGTTAGCTACAATTTACATATATCCATATTGGGCCTAGATTAATGTGCTGTATGAATAATGTGACTTTTGTTAACAGAATCATCAGCCACAGTTTACTCATCCATATGGGGCTTAGCATTATCTTGTTGTACGAACAGATGTCAATCTTGTTAACATAATCGTCAACCACAATTTACGCATATCCATAAAGGGCCTAGATTAACACATCGTATGAACAATGTCACTGTTAACATAACCGTCAACCACAATTTACTCATATCCATAAAGGGCCTAGATTAACACATCGTATGAACAATGTCACTGTTAACATAACCGTCAACCACAATTTACTCATATCCATAAATGGCCTAGATTAACACGTCGTATGAGCAATGTCACTGTTAACATAACCGTCAACCACAATTTACTCATATCCATAAAGGGCCTAGATTAACATGTCGTATGAACAATGTCACTGTTAACATAACCATCAACCACAATTTACTCATATCCATAAAGGGCCTAGATTAACACGTCGTATGAACAATGTCACTGTTAACATAACCGTCAACCACAATTTACTCATATTCATTGCATGAAAAAGAAAATCTCACTTCTTATGATACATCATTCACACGTATAAATAAGAGAAGAAATAAAATAGAATTCTTACCACTAACGTTCTAAGGCAGAGAGTTCCTGCTGGTGATCTTGGATCAAGGGCAGCTGCCAAATCCCAAACTTTGATCTTTCTAAATTCAAATTAAACAAAAAGTATTATTTTGCATTATCTATTGGGTCACAATGTTTACAGGTAATGTATCAACACTCATAAAGTTTCTAACTAATATACCTGGTCAAATGAAAGTTTTTTTCCACAAGAACAAGAGATTTAACATATAAAATGATACAAGATTTAAAGTTCTATCTTTATAAGTAAACCTAAGTTACTGGACTGAGAACTATTAAATCTGACACCGGTGGTGATTACGAATGATGCACGTGCTGTAGTCTATATCTATGTGGAACTTGAACTTAAGTTCTAACTGAATGTTTAAAACTTTTTAAATATAATATTACCCCATAGCTAAGGAATTTAATTAAAATTGTGTGTGTGTGTGTGTACATTTTAGAGCTTGAACATACACGATAGTCCTGTTGAATGATGCACATGTACTGTAATGACACCAGCAATAAAGAACAAACATTTACCTTAAGATTTCACTAAAAGCACAGTCCATCATGGAAAAATTTACAGTATTTGTTAGAAAAAAAGCCAAGTGATTAAATTAAATTGCACTTTTCTTGAGAGTGAGAAGAAACCATGTAGTAACAATATACTTGTTCCTGGTTTCAACAAATTAAAATAATGAAAACCTCAACAATGAAATTATACTCATTGGTTGCATAAAAACTGAAGAAGGAAAAATTGACTTGTGATATTTTTAAGTAGTCCAACAATTCTGTTGGATGAAAATAACCAGACAATCACAAACAAAAAATGTCATGTATCTCATATCAGGTTATAAATTAAATTGATTCACATTCTTCATCAGCAATGTAACATTTCTTTATGATGAATTGTCTTGTATCTAGTACTCTCACACGAGTTGAGAGGACTTCAAACCCATGGGTTCTTGGGTCAAACAAAGCTTCTTTATTACTAAAATTTGATGTTAATACAATAACCATTTGTGTTGTTCAAAACAACGTAGTTATAATGTTTATCCATATTTTTTGCACACCCTTGATTAGAATAAGTCAATTCTTTCAATAGCCTTACATTTCAAAACTGCTTACCACAACAAAGTGTCCTTTTACTGATGATGGGAACTGTAGTTAAAGCACTCTGATTAATACTAGAAGATATTTAATTACTTGCTAATGGTACCTTAAACAGCATCAACACTACAAGAACTGTTGTATTAAACTGTAATTAATTACCTGTTAGTTGTACCTTCACTCAACAATAATATAAAAACCGTTATATTAGAGTGTTATCAATTATTGTTGATAGTACCTTAACAACATAAAACTTGTATGTTAATGTGTAAATTATTCAAGTTATCTTCACAAGTACACACACACACGCATAAAAAAAATAACATTTATGATGTAAGATTATTACTATTATTATAATACTAAGGAGAAGTTATCTGAATAAAAAAATGAAAAACTGCTCAAGTTTCTAAAACATCATAAGCACCACTAACAATTCTTGTTTCATATTGCAAGTCTGTGTTTCAACTTACCCATCATAAGCACCACTAACAATTCTTGTTTCAACTTACCCGTCATAAGCACCACTAACAATTCTTGTTTCAACTTACCCGTCATAAGCACCACTAACAATTCTTCTATTGTCAAACCGAATACATCGCACCAATTCTTCATGACCCTCTAGGATTCGCAAACAAGCTCCACATTCAATGTCCCAAAGTCTGTCACAGAAAAATATAAATTCAAATATTCAACTGGCAACCACTAATATTTTACATTTGACTTTTTCAAAAAATCCTTACAAAGGAAAAATATTCCTGAAGCATAGTTTAGAAGAATAAAACATGTCATATAAATGTTATTTTATCTTTTCCAGTCCAGTGGCAGTGTACTGCCACTTTTTCAGATGCGTTCATAAAAATCAATAGCTATTGAAAATCACCACATCTGAAATACAGAAACGTAAATCAAAGAATGATAATCACTGAATATTTCTGAACCTAAGTTTGATTTTTTTTTTTCCACATATACAAAATATAAAGAATTAAAACCAATATGTGGCAGAGCTATATACTGTCTTTATTATGCAATACACATGTAACCACTGTGTTAAGGTAAATGAGGAGGAAATTCTGGCATTTTACTTCTTCAGTAGTAGATTCCATGTTGGGTCTTTATTTATTTTATTAAGAAAATAATGCTGTAAAAAAGTGAAAATATTCAAACAGAAACATGGTATTGGTGAAATTCTCTTAAAGTCAAAGGGAGGTGAGACATGTTAAAATTAATATTAAAATATTGTTATTTGCATACCAAAAAACTTTCTCTAGACAAAATGTAAACATCTGACATTTTGTTTCCGTTCACCTTTTTGACCCAAAGTTGGAGGGGTAAAAAAAATTCTATTTTTCCTATGTATTTTAGTGGGAATTACTTAAACTAATTCTGATACTAGATTATAGTCATTGATTTTATCAGGGCTCCCCTTCTTATCAATACAAAATTCTAAATCTTAAAACTTCAATATAGATTTATTTGAAGTTGAAAAGAGGAGAAAGATGAGACAGAATTTTTTTAAGTTTAATGTTTTCATGTGTCTAAAAAAAAAAAGGGGGGGGGTTGGAAAGGGTTTATTAGCAAAATACATCAACAGTATTGTAATTTGTAGATTAAAATCCTGAAAAACAAACCGATTAAGTTGTGACAAGCACTTTAACAAAATGTCCTACACGCTTCTTCCTCTTTTCTGAACAGGGTTATAAAAATATAGTTAAGAAAGAATTTACTCAAACTCTGGATAGCATGTTCTTTTATCTAGACAACATAAAAACTTTCAGGAAAAAAAAAAATTAGTTGCTCATAGTAACAGATATAAATAAATTTTTGAAAAAGGCATAATTTATATTTATTTCCTAATTTTTTATGGTGGTTACAAGATCAATCAGATCAACCAAACCCATACAGAGATTCATTAGTGAAAATAACAGATAAAATGTGAAATTTGAAAATTTTATGATGCATAAAAGTATTTTTAACCTTAAAATGAAAATTACTTTGCATCTTGGATAGATAACATGTGAAAAGAAAAAAAGGCATGAAAAAAACATTGCTTAACAAACCTTACGACTTAAAAAAAATTTATATTATGCATATTAAAGCCTTGTAATGTTTACTGATAATCTGCCAAATTTCGTTAATATACGCTTATTAATTGAAAAGTTATAGCATGAAAAGTAAACAAGCACAAAATGGTTACAAGGTTGGTCCCGGGATTTAGCTCGTGCTGAAAGAGTTAAGTGGTTGATTCAAGACCTTGTGGAGGAAACCC